TTGGTGGATAGCCGCCGCACAGAGTAATACATGGTCGATAACCTTATCGCGGCGGCTATCCACCAACTAACTTAAATACTTACAACAAATAAACGGCTCTGAAGAAGGCGAAACCGCCGAAACGTCAGCAATTGTGTTCTAATAAATTCTATATTAACAACCTCGTGTCTGCTTATTGATGAAAAACATTGAATTATCAATTAATGCCGAGGTTAACAGAAAGTCGGTCATGGGAATCACTCAACATATACACAAGAGCATAAACACAATGAAGTGCTGCATCGTCTTCGTTCGGAATTTGAGATTAAGAATAATGGCTAGTCGCAAGCATCAACGCTTTAAGAATGGGAACATCGTCGTTAAACAATCTTAGGGATCAGGGAGCAACCCTCTCTCGAACCTAAACAAGTTGGCAACTGCCTATGTTGAAGGCCTTAGTACTCAAAATCTCGGAAATCATAGGATGCCAAGGAAGAACACGGTTAACCAACATCCAGTGTTTCAACAAACATAAAAGATTACTTATAAACTCGCAAATGGAACTGCACACGAATCCGACAACCAAATTCTTGATGGTGTTTTCAAGATACTGCGTATCGTAGCACCGCAGGAAATGCAGGGCTGGGTCATATAAATAAAGCTCAGTAATACTTGAATGGGAGCAACAGGCAACACACTGCCAGAGAAACCCATCACCGCTTTGGGTCGACTCAGCTTCAGACTCATCAAGCATCTCATCCCTCCGCTTCGGGAAGTTGCTACCAGACTTGTGCGCAAAAAGCTCTCCTTGATTCACATGGGAGTGCTTTAACTTAGCTGTCACTAACATTGCAAGGAGAATCGACTCAACCAGCATTCAACGACATTCACGACGAAAGAAAAGCCCTCAACTAGAAGGCGAAGCCATACGCAAAAAAGTTCGAAGACCCTCGTGGATGATGGATGTAAGGGAACAAATCAAATGCAGGAAGTTTTGGGATCCGCACGGTAAATGTAAAAGACCGGTCATGTGAAAATAAACGTTTTTTTTGACGATTTTCATGCGGAAGCCCAGTAAGGAGTAAACGGTTGCATGAAATTATCGCTGTTTTGAAAGGAGCGGAAAGCATTTTTGCGTTGCCACAGGTTCCAAGAGTTAGCGTGACAACCTGTGATGACCACCTGGAAAAACCTTCGATACTCTAGAGAAAATAAGAAACTGCCTAGATCAAAATGTCAACCAAAACGCACTAAGACCCGTATGATTTTTTCACGAGGGCGTGTGATTCTTGAATATTTCAACTTATAGCTTTGTGGTATCAGGTACACAGAGCTTATGGTCATAAATAATGCTTAAGGCGAAGTAGATTACCTTCGAAGAACAATGTTCGCTTCCTTTTTCCTTTTCAAATATCTACATAAAAATGCTGTTAATACCGTATAACATCCTCACTGCCATACTAATTCAAGAAATGAGTTCGATGAACCGTGAGCTACAAAAAAACTTCAGCAAATCATAAGCATTTTTAAGGCGTACGATCTTATGAAATACGAGCACATTCTTCAACTGCCAGCCCGAAAAGTGAACGAGTTTTTAGCCAAGGAATCGGAAAAACCGTCAAAAATTGTTAAGGAAGAAAGCGAAGAAGTCCTCGAGGGAATAGAATTCGAACGGAAGAACAAAGCCGCCACAGTCATACAACGAACAGTAAGTGAATGATGGCACGACTAAGCAGAAAGAAGATAAGTGAAAAACTGAGAATAGCAACTTTTCAGTTTCAAGCATGCTACAAGAAGAAGCTCTCCGAAAAATATTTGAAAAGCATCACTAATATTAGGTGAGAAAGTCAATTGTTAACGTTTAGCACGTAAGCCTCCGGAAAGAGTAACTGCGGGTTCGGGGCCCAACTGAAGTTCCGAGTTTTGCTCATAACTCAGTACCATTAGGGTTATGTTACACATCTCACAAAGAATATGTAGCGCATAAAATTTACTGTCAACATTTATGTCTACACTTTTTCTACTAACGGGAGGAAGCATAGTTTTTAAAACTTGCTTTACTTTTGGCTTTTAAGACTTTAAAAGTATTGATGTGTCAAATATGCTATTGAATTATAATACAGATTTTATTTCAGTTTCTGAACTATTAATTTTGTTTAATTCATCGTCCTATAACTAGTTCATGGGACGACTAGTTGATCATAAGTGTAGGTAACCATCCCCAAAGTATGGAGTACTCTGATGAGAGGAAAAGCAAAAAGAACAAAGATTTAGACCACAACGTCGCGTGGAACTTATTGGGAAAATCAACGAGAGGATAAGTGGGCGGAATGTGCTTCACAAAGAACATCTAGCAATTGTGGAAGACAAGGTAGACATACTATACGACTATATTATTTAGGTTTCTTCAAAGCCTGAATCATTTTAACTTGAGCTAGAAGCCGTTTATGTCACGTCTTTTCACAGATCTATCTACATTTTCAAGAATTCAAGTAAACGGAAACATGAAAACCTCAGGCTATTAAAATGTACCGTTTCAACGCATTCTTCCTATATTGCCATAAACTGCTTCTAGCCCATGGTATGTATCCGTTTTGTTCATTTGATGACGCTGGATTTAATCTTCATAGTTTGCGTCATCAAGTTCTCACTGAAAATCTGTCATACTAAATAAGCGCGCTGCAAGAACAAAGCGTCACCATAGCTCTTCCAAATTTGAAAAGCGTAGAAAGTGCCTGGAATTCCGTTAGCCTATCTGTACTCATGTAGTTAAAGCCATCATGCCATGAGCCCCTTGGAGATCACAGAAATGGGTCTCATTGCTTTCAATTCTTCTCGTGAAAGGGACGCACGAATGGTGTGGTGAAAAATCTCAAGCGTTAAGGGGTTCCGTGGAGAGATCACGGAAGCACCTGCTACTCATTTCACACTCATCAGATAAAAGGATAAAAGGATGAAGCTCTCGGCGTTGACCAATCCCTGAAGGAGAAGTATTTGAATGCATATCTGGACTTTACAATGGCTCGCGATGGCTTACCGATGTATCGACCCAGCGTTGCTATTCTCCCAGACAAGTCTGGTGCCAATTTGCCGACCCCGGAGGAATGGAGGATTGGTGGGCCATGGGCGCGGGGATCGATTCCTAGTGTGTGTTGTAGTGCGGCTCCGCTTACTACGCCACACGCGCCCTGAGAGTCACCTGATATTAATGTTAAACCTAATCAGTAGCGTGTAGTCCGCATACAAGCAAGAGCAACCACGCACATAAGTAAAGACGTGGTTACAAGATTACGGGAAATATAAATGAATACTGAAAAGTAGAAACAACGAGATGATCTTCGAAATCCCCTGACTTCCCAGGGCAAAGACATGATCGCTTTTGATAAACACGTGTAGGCTATCATAGGTATATAGTAACGTGGCCAATACCTCGAGATCACTCATATAGAATAGCGCAGGAAGAAAAAATAGAATAAATCAAGAACTTCACTTCAGCTTGCGGCATATCGGGCGGCTCGTGAACGTGATGCAGCAGCGTTTGCAAAACGTCAACTCATAATCCAATCTATGAAAAGGGACATAGCAGTACTGAACAGTGAGTATTGTGAGCTATATCAAAAAAAAAGTAAAACTAAGACATGATGCACAAGCTAAGGCAAACGGAAAGAATCGTAGGCGAACGACGGTTCGTAGAACGCGGCCAATCTCTCCCTACTGCCCTTATGTATTCTATACATGTTAGCATTCGTTGTAAAACGCCTGAAGTTCCAGCGAATTCTGCTTCCTTTCAGAGCTGTTTTGGTTTTCTGTTTCAGCTTTCAGCTCCAATTTGGACATGATGACGAAAAAAAGAGGACTAGGTGAAATGTTGTTAAAGGGAGTTAAACGAGAATCTACCGCTTGTCGGAGCATTAGGCAATGTTGGCAGAGAATGTTCTAGTCAGTACAACCCTGGGCATTAACATCGATTCTTCTGAACAAATAATCAGCCAGATCTGTTGATTAGAACTGGAAAGATGCGGACAAGTTCCAACTTTGGCAGTTTTTGTTGCCAACGCTTCATCATAAGAATATAACCATGCTAACACAAAGACATTCTATAATTCAAGTAACGTTATCAGCACGACTCCATGGCCAAGACTTATCTCAGGAGCAGATATGAAGAACTTCACAACGGAATCCATGAATTTGAATGAAGGTAATAATGCGGGAGGTCGCCTTACTTAGTTCATTATCGTGACTGAAATCGTCGATGCAAACCCAAAATTCCAATGGCACTCGTTTAATATCGGATATTGAATAAGAACTCCGTACAATGTATCACACTCGCACGGTTAGGAAATTAGGGAACTAAAGTGTCCTGAAAGTACAATATACCGCTGTGTCATTTTCAACAAGCTGAAGGAGAACTTTGCTTCTCTTAGCATGGGAAACAAGTTTATTATCAGTATTTTACCAAACTATAACGAAATCTAAACGCATCCAAAGTGTAGTGTTTGGCAAGCTGATGCCTTCTCGCTAAAATTATCTATCCATATCTCCACATGGGAAATGCCACATTGAAACTGATAACATCACCGTAAATCGAAGATTTCGCTTAATCATCGTTGCTCTTCTTCCAACGCTTTGCACGAGGTCAAATCATCACTTCGCGGAGTTCTCTTTTTGAAGAGAAATCGAAAGACTTCGTTGTCAAAGAACAAGATCTGGAAACCATTAAGGCTTTTCGCTTTGTTGGTCAACTACGAGAAGCTGAAAGATGACCGTTTAACGATGCGTTTGCAAGTTACAAGTTACTTCACTTAGAGGAAGAGCAATGAAGTAATTCGTCTATGTCTTCTATTTTTTCTCATTGATGGTCACCTTCACCTACAGTCACATTCATACCATCTCACAGAATGGATCATAGGCAGAAAATCTGATCCGGACTTTCCATGACTCCGCATAAATACACTGATTCGATTTTTTATTCCACGAGGTCTCTATCCCTTCTTCCTATAATCATTTAGGCTAGCCAGATAATGAAAAACCATCAGGAGCGCACTGGTTACCAACAACCGTTCCGTCTGCTGTTTTTTGTCTAAATGCTGGTTACCAGAATCGTCCTCAAGGAATTGACCAAACATTAGCCCAAGTTGGTGCTGACTTCCGTCTAGCTTTGCAAAGCGGGCAAATGCGATGATGTCCAGATTTCAGACGCTTTCACGTGAATCATATGCCGCCCACCTCGTCCAAACTGCCCTCGGCAAAATGCTCCTACTCACAGTTCAATTTTTTTTGTGTTCTTTGTTAATAGTAAATCGGTTTTCCATATTCTATATATCCTCAATGTTCTTCTATGGGAAATTTCCAACTCTTGGATATGACGGAAAAACTCGTCCACCATTGAACCACATTGCTTCAAAGATTTCGTAAATCCTATAGGATTTTTAAAGCACTTTTCTTGCACTTAGTATATGTATAATCGCATGAGCTAATCTAAAAGAAGGCTGTTCGTAGAGTTTTATGTACGGAATAGAGCTTTTCAGCCTGTTGCGGGCCACAATATTTATCTTGGGAAGGATCCAGCTCGGCGACAATTCTTCGCTATGAAGGGCTACAAAGTAGCAAGCAGATGATTGAATAAGAACTCCATACAATGTATCATACCCGTACAGTTAGGAAATTAAGGGTCCAGGAAGTACAGTATATCGCTGTGTCATTTTCAACGAACTGAAGGAGAACTTTGCTTCTCTTAGCATAGGAAACAAGTTTATTATCAGAATTTTACCAATCCATGACGAAATCTAAACCCATGTAAAATGTAGTGTTTCACAAGGTGATGCCATTTAGCTAAAATTATTCTGCAGCACCCTCGAGAGGAATGTGCCAGTGGAATAGCATCGGAATCAAGGTCTCCGTTTCCCTCACAATATCATTCTTACAAAGCATTAGTCATACGGAACGAATCCTAGCCTCTTTCGAAATCATCTGCGAAAGAAAGAACTGGAACTCGGGCACCCGTAGTTATAGTATCTTAGTCATGCTGAAGAAGAAAACGATGTTGACGAGAAAGCAATGTGTTCCTTGTGATGTATTCATGCTCAACGGAATAAGTACTTCCGAGTGCTTCAACTACGTCTGAGTCAGAAAGTAAACGTAATGAGCACAGCTGTAAAACCTAAACGCGGTCACGCTATCGATCTATCAAGTGGATGATGGTAAACAAGTACCTTATATCATACAAGCAAGAAAAGAACTGAGAAACTTTTACTTACGTCAATTATGAAAAATCGTAAACACTAACGTATACGCTAAGATGTTGAAAATCAAGTGTGGCGGATATAGAGCATCCCAAGGTCATTTTAAGCACAAAAGCTCTTGGTGTTTGGGCTCCATAGGCTCCCAAGCATATTTCCACGGGATGATCAACCCACTTGTCCGTTCTTTACGTGCACGTTCTGGACGAGAAATCCTTCTGTCGTGTCGCTCGACCAAGTAGAACTCTCCGGCTAGTCAAATACATAAAAGACAGATGGAGACTTGCATCTAAATCACTTAATGATCAGTATGAAGACTAGTGGTATAGTGAAGGATTCTTGTAGCTGCTCATATTAAGCTTAGGAATGTTGCATTGAAATCGGAATCCACACCACTTATTGACTATTATGGTTCCATTTGAAAAGCGATGTAATCTTGGAGAACGCATACGACGTAAATCCCATTCTATTGAAGGATAGAAGCTTGTAATCGGTAGTTTGGTGTTCCAGAAGAAATTTATTGACGATATAGGTGATCTTAGCCTTTGCCTTTAAAGTACTGGAACATCTATCGTTTAATGTTTGTGTATAAATTTGTGGCTTACGTGTTAGTTCAAACTACTTCTATGAAAGAACAATGTAGTACTTCGGGAAAGTTAATTAAAGAGTGACTACCTGGTTCCTTTATTAGAATATGAAAGAAAAAGAGAAGAACTACGGCAATGGTACTCTCACCATCTACTTATGTTTTACATATTATTTGGCTAACAGATACCGTCAAATTATTAAATACCGGTGTGGTAGAAGCTGGAAAATGTCTGGAAACAACCATTTTATATCCATTCACATCTTATGCTTGGCACATAGCGCCCGAAGCTGCTTAACTCGGCTACTGACTATGGTTTCTTGACCAGAATATGTGAGTAGTTCGAAACTTCAGAGATAAGGGAGCGATATGAAGATAACTCGTATGTAATTCTGAGATATTTGCAAAACTCCGGACCGCAGGTGTATGCGGTGGGGAACGAACGCGCGCTATTGTCCTCACCGGGGAGCAGTGCACTTCACCACCACACCATCCGGGTCCTTCGTTTTGCCTGTCTCTCAGCTAGTTCTATTTTTATATTTCGTTATATTTCGTAACATACCCAGCCATTAAAAAGAAAAAGGCAGTAAATAAAAGGGTTGAGATATGAAGATACTTTATCTCCTCAGCGGCACGTATAGTTTCTATAAAACATTCTTTCAGGTTTAAACAGGTTTAGAACCTATGAGTCCCAAAGAAAACTGAGAACTTAGGCCCCTATGAATTTGCAGTAGCCATAAAAACTCAGCGATATACTGGGTAACAATATTCAGAACGTAAGCCTTGACGCAAAATTTGCGTCCCTAGGGTCCAGAAAATCAGAAACTCATCGTGGTAGAGTTACAAAACTCCTCTCGAAAATGCTTGAATCCGAAATGTTTTCATTCCAGCTAGTAAGCTCCGAGTTGAGCAATGCTGTCGTAGAATCGAGAACGCTCACTACACACACTTCAAACGCATTGTGCTCAATGTATATTGGGCATCATATGTCAATCTAGCACTTTATCAACTTCGTATACTTCAGATTAATTTGGAGCCGGCAGATACATAAACTAAAATGTACAGAACGTTATTCTCTCACTACTTTGAATAAACTCTATTGCAGGCATCAAACCTGGAATGTCCGTAACGCCGTCTCTTCTTAAACGCCTAGGATCAACCAGACCGCTATCTGATTATAAAGCATCCATCAATCATGAAGAGGAAATGGAGAAAATTGAGAGCTCACTTCTTGATCTTAACATATAAATGAAGCGCTTCACTAACAAACCTCTACACAAACATTCTTAAAGTTTTCAAAACACATCATCACATCGCCATAACAAACAATTTTTAACAGACGCAGAAATAACCATACTACTACAAAAGTTCCCAGCGTCCTTATCGCTTGGGAAGATGTCCATTTTTCAGTCTTCACAGAACTGTTGCGGTTTTTTTTGACGGTAAACGACAATACAACCACTACGACGTTTAGATATGTGCAAAATATGGATCCAGAGCAGATTTGAACCCACGATTTCCATTTCCGTGAGCTCGCGTGTTACAGACTACACCACTGAAGCCCTTGTTTTGCCCTTCTCTCAGTCAGTTTTCTACATAACAGTGTCATCAGCAATCACCCGTCAACGGGAGCGATCTGTGGAGCATAAATTAGCATTAAACCCAGTTAAGCTGAGGTTATAGTTGAAATTACAATGTTAGCTTCACTAGGTTAACTGACTTAACTGCATTTAATGCCAATTTGTGCTCCCCAGACCATTCCCGTTGACGGGTATTGCTGATGGTACCGTTAGGTAGAGAACTGGCTGACAGAAAGGCAAAGGATGTCAGCGGTACAGTGGGTAACACGTAAGCCACCGGAAAGGGTAATCGCGCTTCGATCTGGCCTAAGGTGCAAGCTTTGCACATATCTCCGCATCACAGTAGTTGTATTTCACACCATACCCTGCCGTGGAAAAATAATAATTGACAGTAAATAAAAAGTTAGAATTGTAAACGGTAATATTTGGAATCGCAACGCTTAACTTTTTATTTACTGCCAAATATTTTTTTATGGCTGGGTATTACGTGGGATACAAGTACAACTATTCTGAGGTAATTTCAACTTATTATTTACTGCCTACTCTTTTTTAATGGCAGAGTATGTTGCGAAACATGACTCGTATAATGCTGAAATATTTGTGAAACTCCGGACCGCAAGTGTCTGCGGTGGGGAACGAACGCGCTATTTTCCTTTCCGGAGAGTAACGCGTTCACTACCACACCATGCAGACCCTTCCTTTCGCCTGTCTCTCAGCTAGTTCTATCGATCTTTGCCACAGCATTGTACGAGTTATATTCCGAAATATTTGCAAATATCTCAGCATCATTGCGATATTTGAATCACCAGAGAACATGAAGGGTAGTGAAAATTTAGAGAATGTAGAGCCATTGGAAAAGAGACTTTGCTCTACCCTTCTATGGTTGGAAGTGCTTTACAACTTGCACTGCATCTATTTCGGCATTTTTCATAGCTTACATCCCAACCAGTAACTTGTGATTCGTTGTAATTGTGAATAATTGAGGCAACAATCATCTACCAGTCAAATTCCCGGCTAATGAACTAATTCAAGATACGGTTTCTCGTACATTTTTAAGTATAGAATAGAGCATTTCCCAGCCAACACCTGCCAAAATATGTGTTGGCTGAATTACTGACTGATCATGAGAAGTGTAAGGGTGCAAAACCTTATATATGGTTAACATTGACGACAATGCGCTAAAATCCTTTAGTGTATATTTCTTGAAAAAACAATGAAGTTAATGGAAAACAAAAATCATGAACAAAACACGAAAAGTGATAACAAACACCACGTTCTGAGTAAAGATTCTGTAATGATCCAACATAAAAGTCATCAAGAATATAGTAAAATCACGATATACATTTGCGCAACGGTACCCGGATATTACTCAGAGCTATCAACTGCTTTCCGTACTTCTCGTAAAACTCTCCACCTTCCTAGAATAAATGTTATAACACAATAAAACCATACTCTTAGAGAGTACATCTAGCGCAATAAACAATAGCTTGCCTGGAACTCCTTAGAGGGTTCCCGCATAGTAAGGGCTATCCGTCTGCCACGAATATGATGAGATAGCACGGCGTGCTTCCACACGTACCTGAACAAGCAAGAGGACTTCGACTCTACAGTACGTTAAAAGAAATCTCATCTGGAAATGAACAATAGAGCAATTGTCTATCAAACTTCTTGAAGGGAAGAAATTTTAATCCAAGCGATTGAAAACGTTCAGCGTCGAAACTGATAGTGCGATTAACGTAAAACTGTCTATTATAACTGCATCTTGTCATACAATCACTGATTAAACGTTTTACTTATGAACTATATTATTTTCGATAGAACTTAGGTAATACATGAAATTCAGAAACAAACAATAAGACCATCACCGTTACCTCGCTTCATTTGATAAGCATATCAAAGATCTGTGTGGCATCCAAATATAGCATAACTGAAATACTCAACTTTCAAATGACTAGGAGAAAGTGACCGAGCAAAATCAATGGTCCACAAAGGAAAACAATCTGTGTGGCTAACCAATGCAAGATAGACGGCTAAAAAGACGAGATCCTAATGAAGACCTAAAATCACGACTTATTGATTAATCCATTCCGCCCCGAATGGACACTATCTTGTCCATATTGCGCTTAGTAGCTTCCGGCTTTTTTTTACCCCACTATGCACATTCATTCGATGGCTAATCCAAAGCAGATCAAAATGGTAGGCGAGAAACTAGAAAAACCATTCTCAAGACTTAACCACTTGCAAAAAACTTATTGTCGAGGGAGTTCATTGACCAGCAATTTTACTAAGAATTATGTCATTCCATTTTAATCACGATGGTTACTGTAGGGAATACGCAGAAATAAGAGTGTGAAGCAGATTCAACAAACGACAAAACACTTCCAAATGTCGACGGCAATGGATTTTATGGACTACAGTAACACAGAGTAAATAGAAGTATACAAGTCACTCATACTCACAGAACGATAGCACAAAGGCTTTTCTGCAATCTGTCATGTTAAAAACCCATGAAGTGCTCTATTTTTTGAGATAAGTTTCTTTATTCTAAAAAAAAACCAGAAAGTTCGCATGGCCCAGCCATGCTATACGGTAGTCGGGGTGGAATGGATTAAAGAACATTTAAACGAAGTTAAAAGAAAAAAACCTGTTGCGTTTTTTCGTTCGCTAACGTCATAACTGATCCACTCAGAAGGTTGATGCTGAAATCAACAACATTGACGGGCATTTTCAGATTCGACGTTTCAAAATGGGTAAATTACAGCAATCAATTTAGACATGACAGATTTACACATAACACATTTACAGAACGCATCCACTCTGCGCGAGCGAGCACTTTTCAAAGTAAAACTTCAAAGTGGTGTAAACGAACCCAGTATTCACAACCTTAACTTCTTATTTGATGCTTTCTACAAATGTTCACAGCATGGTATTATGTGAAAGACAAATGCAATGATGCTAAGATATATGCAAAGCTCCGGACTACATGTGGCTGCGTGGGGAACGAACGCGCTATTACCTTTTCCAGGAGCTAACGCGTTCGCCACCACGCCATGCAGGTCTTCCGTTTCGCCTGTCTCTTAGATAGTTTTCTGTATACCAATGCCATCAGCAATCACCTGTCAACTGCATTGAAAACTACCTGAGAGACAGGCGAAACGAAGGACCTGCATGGTGTGGTGATGGACACGTCAGCCCCCTGAAGTGGTAGCAGCTTGTTCGATCTCCACCGCATACACCTGCGGTCCGGAGTTTTGCAAATATCTCAGCGTCATTATAACCTTGGATTGTTTTTGGAACAAACTAGGTTACAAAAAACACCTGATGAGCCGATTGCCCCAGATCCACATATCATCAAAATGCATTTCTATAGCACTCTTCTTGCTCTGGTCATACTCCAGGTTACACATTTCAAACGGGATGTAATTTCCTAGTTTCTCTGCGGAAATCGATTGCATCTTCTCAAGCAAAAAATCAGCATACTCAGGCATACCTAAACATGGGATCTCTGAAACCAAGGAATCACAAGTAAAAAAGTAAGACATTGAAAATACCTACAAAGGAGTCGAATTTAACCTTCTTGTGCTTGAAATTGACCTTAGGACCATAATCCTAAAAAGGCGTTAGTAACGTCGTAACGTTATATTGTAGAACGCACCTGTTTCCTCCTCCCAGATTGAGATAACATCCAATCAACTCCATCTATCATTTCTAAGAGAATGTTTTCTTCAGATTCACTAAGAAAATCCGGAACAATCATTATCCCATCAATAGAGATGACATCGCAAGCATGTTGAAGGGAGTTAGAAGAAAGCGAAGCTAAAACTACTACAGGATGGTGAAAGATACAAAATATACATATATGTACAAATCGCAATACAAATGTGCAAGAGGTTTGCACAAAAAAACACCCTACATCAATAGCACAACGTACTGGGGAATCAATAAAAGTACAAACATAAACAAATTTGTACAAATAATAAACGAAACCAGGACAGAAAAGGGTTTGTGGGTATAAAAAGAACAGAGCTCTCAGTTTTGAACAACCTCTGAGGGATGGGCCATGCATTCAACTTCATGAAGCATCGTTGGAGGTGGCTGAATGCATATCCGGTCATTACAATGACTCGCGGTGGCCTATCGAGACATCGAGCCAGTGCTGCTATCCTCCTAGACACGTCTGATGCCAGTTTGGTGGCAGGGATCGATCCCATGTGTGCTACAGGCCTCCGACCAGCGTCCTACATGCACCCTTTTTGTGGGTAAAAATGCATAATTTTCTAAAGTAACTCTATGCTGCCTCGATCCACCATGGCAAAGCATAAACGTGTAAGCTAGGTTCATTGAGGTTTTCTTCCACTATACCTTCCGTAACTTCAAAAAACAGCAGCTTGCTCACCAGACAGTTAGGAAGCTAACCTCTCAACGTTTTTTTCCTTTTAATTCTCAGCCCTTACAGTAATTTAGACCGAATTCCTCATCACCAACCCGTGATAATATCTTCAATGGAGGCTGTAGAAGTCAGCGTGGGACATCTGAAGCAAGAAGCAGAGTCAGGATTGAAGACACAGACGTCGTAGTTAGCATACCTATAAGACCGTACCTTTCATACATATACAGACTAATAGCATGCTTACATACTTGTCATCTTCAGTTCTTAGTTTAAGAACCCTCTCGGAAGTTTCGCATAAGGCACAAAACCGAACGCCTTTACAACCACAACTCTGATGTGATACCTCAGCGGAACTCATTCGAAGAAAGCAGAGCTAAAAAGGTTTATGTAAAGCAGTGATAAAGGACAAAGGATAAAGCTCTAGGCGTTGATAAATCTCTTAGGGATGCGCCTTGCACTTGACTTCATTAAGCGTCGAAGGTGATTGAATGCATATCTGGCCTTTACAAAGACTCGTGCTGGCCTACGAATGAGTCGAGCTAGTGCTGCCATCCTCCCAGACAAATATGGCACCAATTTAGCGAGCACGGAGAGATGGAAGGGTTGGTGGATTCAGGGTGTTGCGATCCACCCAGTGATTTTTACAGGGAACCTCCGACCACCCACTGTGTCATACACGCATTACTTTACATTTAATTAACCAAATGTAAAATCGAGATATCAGCTGAAGAGTAAGTACCAAAAATAAGACATAACCTAAAATCTTATGATTAATGACGACAGTGCCGTACCACAATTTTGATCAGTGAAGCAACTAAACGTCTCTTGAAATGCTTTGTGTGCAACTTCAGAACAATGACGTTTTGGTTACGTCAATTATGAGCGAGTTCCGGTTATTAGAGGTACTTATAACTTGGTTGTTTGAGATTATTGTCGCTTTCCTTTTTTTCCAGAAAGTTTTACTCGAATAAGAGTATTCTCATCGTGTTCCAGACACTTAGAAGGCGACCATAATTTGTTGGCTTTGATCGTATTTGTTTCTTGTCGGGTTTCCGAACTGGTTTTCATAGAAAGTTCCTGTTGCTTCTTTGGAATCATACGGATCACTGTCAGCTTTTTCTTTTATAAAACACCTCCGATTTCTTCACCAAAGCGGTGTTATGACTGTATGCAGCTTATCTGACGCTGTTTGATTCGTCCCCGTGAGTCACGTGTTAGTAATGGTGCGTTTGATGTGGAGATTCCTCGCTTTCGTCGCATTCCACCCTCTTCTTTATCAATATGAATTGTCGAACGGCACTTTATTGATCTCACTTTCCTTAGCTTCTACCTACGTTTTCATTCAAAGACACTTTTTCCATGGCTTTGATGTCTCGAACCATGTTTAAATTTTACATCTGCACGATTTTTTCTGTTTATATGTTCTTACGAACTGCCCTTGTTGAGCTGATGCGACGCTTGTATGAGTTATAGTTGTTGCTGTTGTTGTTGTTGTTGTTGTTGTTGTTGTTGTTGTTGTTGTTGTTGGTCAATGACTGACGTTTCGGCGATTTCGCCTTCTTCTGAGCCGTGCTGTTATGAGTGGGACTAATCTGTTTTTATCTTTACTTTTTTTTTCTTTCAGGAGCACACGTCCGAGGTGTGTAGGAAAAAGAGTCCGTTTCCTACAGCTGATTTGATATTTCATGGTATCGAAAGCGGTTTTCCGCGTTAACTATGGCCCCATCTGGGGTTAAACCTGGTGTTATCAAGGTATGATTTGGTAACAGTACTAGAGCGAAGTTCTTTAGTACTGTTATGATGTGAACCCTTTCATGATTTGACTGCAGTTATGATGTTTTCTTTTCACTAATGATTGCTTTTCTTGAAGTGTTTAAGCTCATCCATGGCTTTAGGACCCTGCCGTTGCTGCCCTTTTTAGTCATAAGGACCCAGAATCCCGATATGATGACCTTAGGGAAATTGGGCACGGATCCTTTGGAGCTGTGTATTTTGTAAGTGTTTACAAACTGTTCAGTATTAAGATATGAGATTATATTTGTCGTTTTTGTAAAATTTTTGGAGCCATATCTCGCAATTACTTTCCTCATTGTAGGCTTATGACAAAGAGACTAGCGAAACGGTTGCTATCAAAAAGATGGCTTATTCTGGAAAGCAAGCCGGTGAGAAGTGGACGGATATTTTGAAAGAGGTTGCAGTTAGGTTGTAGTTATTACTATTTACTGACTAGTTTTTTATTTGATATGCTTCAGGTTGCCTTTCTTAATAAAGTCAAGCACCCTCATATTGTCGAGTATAAGGCGTGTTTCCTGAAAGAACAAACTTGTTGGGTAGGTTCAACGTTATGCTTCGTTATTGCTTTCCAAGTATGTTAATTTTAATCAGAACGTGCTAATTCAGTTTACTTTCTTTGATTTTTGGGGACACGTAGCGCAATGCTCGGAGGCGCCCTGCAATACACATAGGATCAATCTAGGCACCAATGGCTCACCAAGCCTTCCATCCATCAGAGGTCGACAGATTGGTATCGGACTTCTCTGGGAGGATAGCAGCACTGGCTCGATACATCGGTACGCCACCGCGAGTCATTGTAAAGACCGGAAATGCATCCGGTCTCCTCCAACGATGCTCAATGAAGTCAAATGCATGATGCATCCATAACGGATTGATCAACGCCGAGGGCTTTATCCTTTTATCCTTTATCTTTGGTTTTCAACAATTTTAGCTTTCTTGACCGCTCCGAAGACAAACTTGATAACTTTTTAGCTTATAATGGAATACTGTATTGGATCCGCAGCAGACATAGTTGACGTTTTGCGTCAAGGCCTACGAGAGATTGAAATTTCGGCCATATGCAGTGAAACACTTTCTGCATTGCATTATCTTCATCAACTGCACCTTATACACAGGGATATTAAGGCAGGAAATATCTTACTGTCAGATTCCGGCCGCGTCAAGTTGGGTCAGTTCATCAGTATTGAAAATTTCTCCTCTGTCTTACATTTATTCGTAGCAACGATTCAAGTTTAGCCGATTTTGGTTCTGCTTCGATGTCGGATCCTGCGCAAACGTTTATTGGTACACCGTTCTTTATGGCACCTGAAGTGATTCTTGCAATGGACGAGGGTCATTATACAGAAAAGGCAGATATATGGTCACTTGGAATCACTTGTATTGAATTAGGTAACTTTTCTTTCAATTGAATGTGCGACTTTTTAAAGCCCGTTTTAAACTAATCACATTAATTCTATCATTAGTTATTAGATTAGACACGGCTGAGTGAAAGGCGAAACGAAAGGCTTGCATGGTAGAGTGGTGGTGAACGCGTTAGCCCCTGGAAAAGGTGAAAGCGTGTCCGATCCCCACCACTCTTGGTCCAGAGTTTTGCAGATATCTCAGCCTCATTGTAGTTATTTTGGTTCTATTCGAAAATATCCTTTTTTCATTTGTGTATATCCCTAAACCTTTGTTATGCATAAAGTTATAATTTGGTTATTATAGCTGAACGACGACCACCTTTATTCAATATGAATGCTATGTCTGCTTTATATCACATTGCACAAAATGACCCACCAAAGTTAGCAACCGTGACGAGGGAAAACCAACCAGACTGGTTTGTCAAGTTTTTTGGGCTTTTATATGTCAAGATTTTATTTATACTATCAGCACTTCTTCAGAGCTAGAGTGGTTTTTCGTTTAGGTCTGATTGTTTCAAAGACTTTGTTGATATCTGTTTGCGGAAAGAAGCAGAAGAGCGGCCAGATACGGGAGCGTTATTAAATGTATTTCGTTTAAGTCTATTGCTAGCGCCTCTCTACATATTTAAAACGCTCATATATTATTTGCAGTTTATTGTTGATCTTGCGGGTTCTTTTCAGCACGGATTTATCGCACAATCCAATCATAATGGAGTGATTCAAGAGTTGATAACAAGGACTAAAGCCATAGTGGGTGTTATCATCGAGTTCCATTTCCCTTTTAGTTTACTTCCACTTTCGCTTGCACTTTTTATTCTAGGTTTTGGAACTGGATAATTTTCAATACAAAAAGATGCGCAAGCTTATGTATCTCGATGAGGTGGACAACAAAGAGGGAGAAAATGCCCAGGGTATATCTTTTATTATCACTATTGATTTGTTATTTTATGGTGTTCGTATTTTATACGTAGAATAATACTTGTAAATTCATATTTTAGGACCGCTAAATGGTTGCTTACTTTAGTATGTTTTTTGCTGTTTTGCTCTCTTCCTCTTAATTTGCATAGCGCTGTCATTTTCCCACTTTGATCTACTTTATCTAGTTATTTATTTCCTTTTTCACTGATATTTTGATTAAGGTGGAGCATGTGAAGAGGTTGACGACCTTGTGACTGACTGTGGAATATCATCTGTCGAAAAGGGTTAGTTTACAATATACTTTGTGAAAGAGGCGCTTGTAGCGCAGTTTTGGAGGTACTCTGCAATACACATGGAATCGATCCCCATGCCCCAGGCTCACCAATCCCTCCATCCCTCCGTTATTATTATACTTTGTGAAAAATGATCAGAAATTACTCCGTTCTTTCAACCAAAAATTAGTGTTCTTTCTTTTCGTATATAACCTCACATTCTTCGCGTTGAAGGATCTAATAGTTTAGGCGACTCTACAAGCTCGAGGAGTGGTTCGATGAGAAGTCTCACTTCATTCCGCTCTATGCAAAGCAATAGTGGTGGGAATAGTAATAACAGTCGACCACCGATACCAAACTTCCGCTCAGATAGTACGGAAGGAGAGGTCGGTTTTTGGCATTTCCACTTTTGTCTGTTAACTGATAAATAAACGCCGTAATGTAATTCCGGTGACTGTTTTGTGATTCATGCTTGCTTTTAGAATCGTACTTTTATACCGGTTGGAAATGTATCCCTTGAGAATTCCGAGTTATATAACAATCGGCCTCGAAGTCCTATACCTTCTGTTAAGATTGATAAAAGTATTAAGGTGTGTTTTTTTTGGTTCAAAGTCTTATGAATGTTTATTTGTGACATGTTTGCTTTTCTTTCTTTTCTTTATTTTAAAATATTTGAAAATCTCTTCCTGTCCTAAAGTCGTTATCGATATCATCTTGAGATTCATCTTTTGTTTGAATTTTGTGGTTTATACTAAGCAGGGATGAGCAATATTTTATGTTAACCACCATCCCTTCGTGTAATCGTATTTTTTCAAACTCTTATATTAGGATGATATGGCGACACTAAAGAAATCGAAGTTCTCCACGTTGCGTTCGGCGAAGTTGATCTCTCGTGAGCAAGAAGAATACAACAAAGAAAATAATATGTATGAGCAGATGAATGGATATAAACGTCTTCGTCAAATGCATCATAAGGAGATACAGCAGGTTTGTTGTAATTTGGCTGCTCTCAAGAGTTGTATGAAAACTCCATGTAGTAGTTTTTTTGATTTTGCTGAAATTTTTTCTATTCTTTTTCTCCCAGCGGTTATATCGCCTCATTGTGTCTGGGAAGTGTTCTTGGGTATCAGGCTGTGATGTACAACAAGAGAATTTGTCCCTCCAACAGAATCTCCCGAGCTGAGAAGGAGTCCAGCGTTTCAATCAGGAAGCCCAACTAAGAGTAAACCTCTACCAGGATTCACTACCATCCTAGTATCAAACTAGTCACATGGTTAGCAGATCTCGCTGTGATCCACAAGGGCGGCGACTCCCTGTGTTGGTGACGTCTTGGGACTAACTTTACCTAGGCTGACTTCAGGACTCCAGGGATACACAATGGCTAAACCATCAAAACTCCGAAAAATAGAGAATACACTAGAGCTCGCGAAGTAAGTGACGATGGGCCATTCTAGTAAGTAACTACTTTTTTCTTCTACAGTGTTTACTTCTAAATGCTGAAAGGGATGATAATCTGGTTAATGCTTCGCTTTAACAATATGTTTAGTTTGATACCTAGAGGAAGAATGAATGGCTTTTATTTTGGAGCATTGTAGTAAAGTTTTTCTAGCTGGAAGAACGTTGCGCGGCCGACATCGAGCTCCTTCGCGTTAAGCTTGATAAAGAACTCGACCAACTTGTATCTGGATACGCTAAGGTATATTCTAGTAGTTGCCAGGCACACAGATTTTCCTCAGTTCTTGCTCGCTATCTTGTTATTTCCAAAAACGTTTTACTGTTGTTTTACTCTCAATATTGTTCCTAGTAATTCCAAAGTTTTTCAGGAGAGAATGCGATTCAAAACAGCGCATCAAAGTGAATTAGAAAAAAAGAAGAAGGAGATTGATGAGGGTGAAAAGAAGTTGCGAAAACAAATTTTAGTAAGCAATTTTATTTTTTATTATGCAGTGCTTTTCATCAGCACAACATTTATTAATGTATAATTTACTAGTTGTTCATATGAATAGAATTCTAGTCCCGTCAAGCTCATGAAATGCGGTGTTTCTCCAACTCTCAGCTGAAAGAATATCGTCACAATAAAGATATGGCAAAGAGTGTACGTTTGTACCACATGAAACGCTTATTCTTTTCCCCAGTTTTATAATGGTTTTTCAAGTTATACAAGTTCTGTTTGTATGTGGTAGTCACATGCATGAGAACTAATTTTTCATTTTTTTAAAATCAGAACTGCTAAAATTTTTTTCATTTTTATATTAAATATTGAGGTGCTAATGCGCCTTTCCAGTTTTGCGATTTGGAAAACCTTCAGATTTAACGCATATGGGACATTGTTTTTCGATGGCCGTTCGAAAATATGAAGAACTTAGAGACTTTTGGGACACACTTCTTTCTATTTCTTTCATCGATATTGCTTTGTAGAATGTTTGATCAATTTTTTTTTGTTAAGATTAAAGAATTCTGATACAGTAAGGACGACATAGGATTATTACACAAACACGATTGCTACCGGCATCAGCAGTACATCCGAGAATACCATCTTGTTTTGTGTTTGGTGAAGTCGGGCATGATTGGAGATTATGTATCTTGTTGGCAATTATCTGTTGATTCTGCTTTTTTTTCTTGTTTAATGCTGAAGAGCTGATTTCACTTATCAATGAGTTATGCATGACTCATATCTTCGTGAATGTCTCGAAAACTCATGCCCAGTGAATGTATATAGGATTTGACATGGAAAGTTTATTAGGGGAAACTCGAAATCTTGTTGCTATTTTGCGCTTGAAGTGTTCGCTGCTGTGGCAATTCACTTTTTTCATGCTTAGGAGACGTAAGGTTGTCAAGAACGTGATTTATTTGGTACAATATTGGCTGACGTTTGAGCAGTTTCACCTTCTTCAGAGGCCTTTTGCACCTTTTCAGTCTTTCAGTTATTTAACGGAGACCGAACGTACGGAGTCTCACATGGATCAGGCCCTACTATTAAATACAGCTAAGTCTTTTGTATAAGCCGGCCTTGTTTTCAACTTATCGCACATTTTAATTGCCGAAAACTCCCAGCAGTTTGCGAAAAAGCCGACTCGGTCCCATAGTGTTTAATAGCTTTCCGATAGACTTGTCTAGTATATTGATCACTTCTAGTTAAGAGACCCAATGTGGTTTACCAAGGACTACATTGATGAACAAGCGTAAAATTAATTTGTTTGTAGTGTTATCTCTTTTTTCAGTTTTATTTGATGTGACCTTTAGTTGTAGGAAAAGCCCATGTCCAGTCTTAAATTTAAGTCGTTCCTCTGCTATTCGTATTATTTAGTGTTTTTTCATACGGTGCAAATCTAATTGGCAGAATATCACTAATATTGTTTACTCGGCTCTAATTTTTCATCAATGATTTTCTTAATTTGCTTCTATTTTTAGAGTCTGAAGGAACGTGGCTTGACTCGATCTGCTTATGAAATGGCGTTGAAGGATATAAAAGCACAACTGACAAGGAAAAGAGCGAATGCCGAAGCGGCTTTTGAAATAAAACTTCGAGCTGAACTCGAGTCAGAGGTGGTGAAATACCGTCGATCCCAACTACTTATGCTTCACAGTACCGAAAAGCGTTTGGATGAAGAAGTGAGACTTTCATGCTGTAAATAGGTTAACATAAAGATTGCTTTGTTCAGAGGAAAATTCATTGATATTTCCCTGGAAACAACGTTTGTGGAACTAAACGTCGTTATATCCATAATTATTATATGGTATATGCCTTGTTACTGACAAAATCTTTAAAAAGTTGATTTTTTTAAAACAGCTTTTTTATTTCTCTTTAGAATAAATTCAAGACCATCTTTTATTGACTAGAACCGATTTTAGATTTGGTGGTGTTACACTACTACTGTCATCCTCTGTTAATTAGTTCGACATTTTCATCCGAAATCCTAGTTAGAAGTAAACCTATCCAACCTTCATTGTAGCATGCTTACACTTTTGCGCTCAAATTTTAATTTCCGGAGCTCAAAAAACTGTTCTTAACTGTGTGAAGCCCGTAAAGTTATATGTAGCTTCGAGAATGTTTTCGTTTACAGGATCTAAATGTGCTGGAACGTCAAATGGATAATCGCCAGGCAATGCTGCTTCGTCACCATGAAGCTACTAAAGATATTGAAGTGGCTCAACTGAAGGAGATCCAGACAATGAAAAAGCGACATCAGGTTCGTGGATATCGCGCTTAGAATTTGAACAAGTTTTTTTGCTTATTTAGATTGGTTGTTACTTTCGAGAGTTATGTGATTGTTCTGAAAATATACATATACATATACACAAATGTGCATATATACACAATATATGTATATATAAATATATATGTGCATGTATATATAACGATGTGTACATTCGTGGAATAATGCCAACGTTAAATGCCACAAGTTAATTGTTTCGTTCTCTTTCTCAGCATTCACGAGGTTATTCAGCACACGTTTACTTCCTTACATGAAGAACGCATACAACACAACGGTAGCTGACGTTTCGGCAGTATCGCCTTCTTCAGAGCCTGAAGGGGTACACTGATATGTAATTTACTAGGTCAAACGCTTCAATAGTGCAAACAGAAAGATGAAAACCTGAACGATAAATACACGTTCTGCAGCTTCTCTCTTCTTCTCTTCTCGATCGCTGAGAAAGAGAACGAAACATTTATTATCCAATGCTGAGGTTAATAGAAATTCGATCTTGGGAACACAAGTTAACCTTCTATTGTATGGATATATCAGGATCAGACTAACCGCTAGAATAAATACTGAATTCAGTATTTTTTTATTACTTCAGATCATACAACATGATGCAGAATCGACTAACCAGACTGAGTACACGAGGAGGAAAACCGATGACCTGAGAAAACGACATGCTATACAGAGTAGACAACAGCCGAGGGAGCTTAAGGTACTAGATACATTATCTGCATTTCGATGGTTCACCATAACATTGAACTTAAGAAGGAGCCAGCCGGAAATCCTTGTTTGTTGCATATAATGATGTTCTTAGTTGAAAGAAGCCCAAATTCGCAAGCAGTTTCGACAAGCTGTTAAAACTCAAGCGAGGCAGTTCAAGCTCTACCAGACGCAATTAATGCAAGCTACTCCTAAAGAAGAACACAAGGAGATCTCAATTCAATTGAAAGAGGTAGGCATATTGATGATTATATTTGAGTTTATTTGTTCTTGCTCTTTTTACGTTTTCACTTTTTGGGAAGCGTCAATTTTATGGGATTTTTGACTTCCTAGTTTCAGAAGCAGAAGCGTCGAATTGCATTACTTACATCTCAGTACGAATATCAGATTGAAAGCATGGTTCAAGAGAAGACTGTTAGTTTTCAATCTCGTTTTGTTCACGTAAACAAATTTCGTTCGGAGTCGTTGTTTGTTGGTGTTTTTGTTTCTTTTTTAAATTTAGTTTATCTTTCTTAGGGAAAACTAGAATCATGGCAAGAAGAGGAGGCTCGATCGTTGCATGAACGGCTAGCTAAAGAGTTGGATGAATTAAAAGAGTATCAGGCTAAACAACGAGCACAGTTGGAGAACACTATTGACAAGGTATTTTGGTATACGAATTGTTCGTCAGCCATGAAAATTAAATTTTTTCGCATTGCGGAAAAAATTTTTTCAGTAGAGGAACTGCTAGCTTTAAAAAATTTCCAGTTCGTTTTGAAATTTAGTCTCAGTTTGTCCACATCATTTTCCATTGAAGTTATTAGTGGTTTCGTTTTTATTTAGCCTCTTATATTTTTTTATTTGGCTTGCAGACAACATAATATTATTGGGATTCCATGATTGTGTTTTCATCTTTTTTATTTGACGCAACTCGTCTATGATTATGTTCCGTTGTTACCAGCCGTTCTCACATTCGATTTGTTTTCTCGCATCCATCTGCACAAAGGCCTTCGATCTTTTCCGTGCAGATTGGGCTGCTGCGTGAAGTTTTTCGTCTTTGCGAATTTGATTGAATACTATTCGACTCCCTTCTTCCTCGAGTGCAGAGATCTCTGTGGTAGAGCGTTCCGACATGGATTCGAAGGATTTGATACCTGACAAGCCTAACACCAAATTCTAGACCCTGGAAGCGTGTTATCCTTGGTGATCCCGGCGTGGAGTCGAACTAACACCGTCTTCGTGTTGAAGGACTTCACTATTTCTGCGCTACACCTCTTTCCCTCATGGTCTAATTATATAATTGCCAAGGCTGGAGTTCACGAATTGTACAAACCCGCAATTGCAGCTTCCATTACTTTCTTCCATTCGTAGCCGTTGTGAATAGAGATGGTCCATTTAGTTGACGAATGCTGGTTTCCGTGTTAGAGGTGATGTCGTTCATTGAGTTAAGGTGCTAATGTGAGCAGTAAACACGTGTGACTGTTTTATACATAATTCTGTTTGATTTATTCAAAGCCGAGTCAATTTGTATTTGCTTGTAATCCACACTTCGTTGATTCTTGATATAACTGGTTCATTTTTGGTTCTCACCAATTTCGTTGCTAGCTGAATCATTAGCGAAGTTGCGAGTTTTCCTGAACATACGGGTGACAAATTGTTGCTTGATATTATGTTAGGTGATCTAATTGTACTTCAAGAGACTTCGCTGTTGATCTTTCGCATAATAACCTTATGTTGCTGAAACGTTGTGGACAATGGCAGCCATGCTCAGAGCGTTTCATTCCTAACAAACTTTATTTTCTTTTCTGAAACAATTCATTGGTAATGTTTCCTTGGCTGTTGGCGTGGTTGGCGGATGCCACACATGTTTGTCGAGGTTTCGAATTCATATAAGTAACTTACTATTGCTGTTCTGGACGGTGGTGATCTTGGATACTATGAAATGATAGTAGTATGAATAATCATGATAAAATACCACCTTCTTTATGAATAATATGAAAGTACGGTAAATTTTCGTTTAGGTTGATTTCAATATGTAGTAATTCCGCTTGTTTTCCTCGAAATATGGACTTACCTAGAAGAGGGGAGTTGTGAACAGGGTTTCAACAGAACGCTTTCCTTCCTCATTTTGACTGTTCATTCCTAATACTGCAACGTAGTATTTTTCTGAATGATGATTAAAAGGGACAAAGTTCTCGGCGGTAGGTAATTCCTGCGGTATGCGCTATGAATTCGTCTTCATTAAGTGTCGTTCAGAGATGATTGAATGCATATCTGGCCTTTACAATGACTCGCGGTGGCCTAAGAATGTAACGAGCCAGTGCTGCTATCTTCCCAGACAGGTCTAGTGCCAATTTGCCGACCCCGGAGGGATGGAAGGCCTGGTGAGCCACGGGCGCGGGGATCTATTCCACGTATGTCGCATGGCGCCTCTGACTGCTGGTTATTAGTATCGTAGTGTCTCGTTCAAAAAGGATGAAATTCCCGTTTTCGATAGATAAATTTGCGGAGAAGGTAGTTGATTATACCGAATCGAGCACATTGACTTCAGATAGATTTGACACGACTCTTACAAAAGTTTTTTTTTTATAAATTGTGAACTGGAGTGAGTACCTTTCCTTTACTGATACCTTGGTACAGATCCTACCTGGAGTACATGGAGGATTTAGATTGAATACAAGATGTTTAGCAAAAGAGCTTCTACATTAAAGGAAGCGGCCGAAAACAATACGAGTTGAGATCGCTACATTCTTGCCATTCCGTCACCTCATTAGATACGCTAATCGGTGTTGATCGACGTGCATGTTTCCACATCATTTTTTTTTTTGTTTATCTTACAATACCTTTTAAGGAGCTCATTGCGTTAGATGAAAGAATCGCTTTGCGGCGAGCAATGCTTGAGCAGAGATTCAAAGAAGAACGTGAGGATATGCAGAAGCAACGCGAAACGCATAGCCGTGTTATCGCAGAACGACATGCTGCAGAAGAATTACAACTACCCAATGCAGTTAGTAACTCATCTCAGACGACTGCGTTGTAGCATATTAGTGTTCATGCTGTGCAGGTATCAACGAGTCGATTGACGGTTCTTCTTTTTTTGTGTTGGTTCTTTCGTTCTTGCTATTCACCTCGATTTCATTCTTCCCACACATTTCGTTTTCGAGCTTTGCTAGTTGAGTTTTACCTTTATTGTACGAGAACTAATCTTGATGATGACTAAGTCTTCTAGTCTTTGCTCATTTTTCAATTCATGATAGGTTGGCAATACATCAAAGTTATTCATAATTTCTTACGATAATAGGCATAGCGTAGTAGGGCAGAGGGCTGCAGCAGTGTGGTATAACCATGGATTTTAGGATATTCTCGTTCATTGCAACTGTACGGTGTTGTTCGTTTCATCTACTAGAGGTGGATGAAGGCACTGATAGTAATGCTTATCATGAGTAGATTGTGTTCGTTGAAGAATAATGCATAGAATTTCTTTAGAAAGTTTTCAGATTTTTTTCCTTTCAATGACATTTGTGTATACCTAAAAGGACTTCATTATAGGAAGAAAATTCGGCTAAAATTTTACATTAGACGTGTACCAATTAAGCCAAGTGAATGAAAATCTGCTGGTTAGGAGAAGTTTTATGAAAAGTAGGAAAAAGTGAAGTTAGTCCGATAGTTTTGATATTGCTAAGCGTTATTCCAGCATGTCTCGAACCTTTCCAATTATTCAAGAGAACGTTCAAGAGGTTTTTATAGCCCTCTGCCGTGAATTCGTATTCACTCATACGTTTTATGGATGCCTATTCATTTAAATTCATTCGTATCCAGTAATCCTGATGATTTACGCCCTCAGTTTTGGTTGGTTCGTTTCTTGACAAGCTGAGTTCTTCAACCAACTGCTATGCTGCTTGGTGATTGTATAAATGATTCGAAATGTCCCATATATTTAAGACTATTTCATGATTTAATAGTGGTACATAGCGCAATTCATGACCTAGAAACCCTCTGGCGCTCAACTACCTGTGTTTTTGTCTTAGTTCCTTTCTTGAAGTTCGTCATTTTTGCTGCTCTTATTTACTCGGTATGGTCTTCACTGATCTTTGCTGTATCTGTTTTCTTTCTTTCCTCATGCCCTCTACAGTTCTATGTTGTAGCCTTTTTCACTCATTCTGGTTGAGTGAACATTTCATTGTGTACGCTTTAGATCGACGACATCACTTTGTGTCGCGTCAAAGATGTGATATTAAGGATATTATTCCTTTTTTTCATTCAATTACTGAATGTGTTCGAGGCAACATGATAAAGGGGTTCTGCTCGAGCACAGGATCTTTTGGTGACAAGAGGTTTCTTTTCTCTTTTGTTAAATGTTTTATGCAAGGATTCTGAAATTCATACTCTTTTCACGTTGCTTCGAAAGACTTGGCGTTAGTTGTCGTTTGATATGAGATATCAATTCAAACATTATTGCTTGGGATTTTTGTATTCCTTCTCGTTTGATGATTAGCATTATGTCATGGTTGCAGCAGTGCTCTATTTTTGTAATAATTTATTTTCTTATTATACTGAATAAATGTGTATTGTATGCGAATAAAAAGTATTTTGAGTTCACTGCTGAACCAACATCAGCGTGTCGTTCCCTGAGTAGATGATCTGGAATGGATCTGTTGTTTCCACATACATTACGTAGCGAACATTGATTTATCGCTAACAGGTTTTCTTTGGATTTCATTATAGAATCCTGGTGTAGCTTTTTGCTTGAGTTTAATTCGGTTACCGTTCATTTCATTTTCAACCCGAGCTCGAATCAGTGTGTGGACTCGGCTTCTGAAATCTGTGATATTTCCGCTTATGAATACGGGCTATGTAGGCATTGAAAACAGCCGATCTTTTTTGAATTGTCCTTTGAGCCGATTTTGATCTATTTCTGAAACAGTATTCTCGTCCATTTATCATCTTGCGTTCTCATTATATAACAGCTCATGGATTCTGTCTACCAAACCGTTTCTCGTCTGAACTTGTAGAGACGAGATAATGATGAAGGATAGTGCTGTCGGCGTTGATAAATCCTTGGCCGATGCGCCAAGCATTCGATTGGAGGTGAATGAATGCATATCTGGCCTATGCAACGACTTGCGATGACTTACCGATGGGGTCAGTGCTGCTATCCTCTCAGGCTGTCCAACTCTGGTACCAATTTGCCGACCACGGCGGAGCAATAGAAGGCTTTATGAGCTTGGGGTGCGGTTTCAAAACCAACGACCGCATGTGTATTGCAGCACGCCTCTAAACATTGCACTACATGCTGCTCTGATTGCGGGACATTCTTGCAGAAACGCAAGCGACAAGATTCGACTTGATGTTGAGCATGACGGCTCATCTTCGGAAGGCCGAGTTTGGGCACGTTGTGTCTGTCATTCATACTTACTTAAGTCCGAGATGTACTGTTATCAAAGCATTTGAGGAGGGATGTTAAAGTTGACGAAGTGTAGTGACCTTAGTGCATTTTATTTTCAGTGGTTCGTTTTACCTTGCATATATGGCTGTGCTGTTTTCAAACGCTTCATTATCACTTTTAAGGGTACATTTTCGCAACGAGTAAAGATAAGGCATTGAGCGAACTTATGTAGGTGTAATTTTAGTGTAGATGTATACCTCGGCATAGCTTGGTGTTTGCAGAGTTTGCGTTCATCAGTGTACTTCATCATAGAAACATATCTTTAGAAACAGTTATCACTCTTATTGCCTCAGCGTGTGGCGCAGTAGTTGGGGGCGCCCTGTAATACACATGAGATCGATTACCATGCTTCTGGCTCACCAAGCCTTCCATCTCTCCGGTGTCCGCAAATTGGTACCAGACCTGTCTTGGAAGATAGCAGCGCTGGCTCGGTATATTGGTTGGCCACCGCGAGTCATTGCATAGGCCAAGTATGCGTTCAGTTACCTCCAAACGATGCTTAATGAAGTCGGATGCATGGCGCATCCCTAAAGGATTGATCGACGCGGAGAGCTTTATCCTTCTTAGCTTTTATTTACACAACCTTTTAGTGATCTTTTAAACGTTGTGCTCGAGAACACTTTACTATTTACAATTTGTTACGTCATACATACACATCGTGTCCATGCTGTCTGCGCACTTTTACTAATTTCTTCAAGAGAGAGGTGAGAAGTAAACGGCATAGAAGCACTTCCGTTTTCAATGTAACGCAAAGAGATATTCATTTTGAAGTCATTTAGAAATGTTTTTCGCAAGTGGTCAGTATAGATCTTCCAGAAGTTTACCAAACAAGTCTGGGTGGCTAGAAAGAAGAGCTTTGTGAAAAACTGCCATCTGGTCGCTTGTGTTCATGAACAGTTTACCCTATTTGTGGCTTCGAATAACTTTTTATGCTGATGAGTTGGTGTAAAGGGTTGCTTTAGAAACTCTGGACACCGTTTTTATGCCCATCTCATCTTTCCAGTTCAACACTCGAATGTCTTTGTGCTGTCCATTGCGTTCTCTTCATCTCCAAGTGGATAACCTATTTGGGAAGTCCTTTGTTGTCCTCTTACAGATTTCAATACAATGGCTTTACCTCTAGAAGGTACTAAGTGAAGCTCGAGTGTTTGCACATTTTTTACAAGTCTGTGCATTCTGCTATAATTTCTATTGAGAAACTCAAACTCGAAAAAACTAGTGTGCAACCTGTCTCGCTAAGTATATAACTCGTTGAGTTGTCAGAAAAATGAAGATCACCGAACATATTTTCAGATCTATCTCTTTTCCTCAATAGGTTTGAATATAAGAGGAGGATTGGAATTGTTGTGATCCTTTCAATTGTGGCATTCCAGATGTTTCCATGTTTAGGTATCGACCTGGATGAATCTTTTCATCTCTGTCAACAAATGTCCCCAATTCCCACAACGCAATCATCTCTAGTCCGTATCTGTGTGTCTCGTGCAGAATCACCGCCCAAATGCCGCTCATAAATAATTCATGCAAATGTGTCGGAAACCAATGAAAAAAGTGAAATTGTAGAAGATCTCGCCCATTCATAGAGGCTGTCAATTCTTAGAACTATGGTTTGTTCTTTCCTTTGAATTCATTAAGCGGTATGAACTCCATTGTGAACCAGTGGAGTCTAGAGATCTTTACTACTAGGCTACAAGTTTTCTTCCATGTCTAAATTTTGGTTCTTTTTGGGAAAATAAATTTTAACTAAAGTTAAGACGAAAATAACACTTCAGAGACCTTACACATAACCTGAAGGCAAGGGATCAAAGCCTTTTCCCTCCAGACCTCAAATCCTCATGGCCTTTAGTTATGAAGAGAATCATTAGGAGCTGCCGAGAAATTAAAATCATCTATTGTCGGAGAAGTATTAAATTCTATGTAAAACTCACTTTCAATCGTTATTATGAATCGTGGTTGTCGTATGAAATGAGCGGATATGAGAAATATTAGAATCAGGTCGTCATATGTTCCAAAACACGTTTCCTATAACTAGTACTGACAATTCTGTAGTTGGAAAGTTCACCATTGTTCCGCACATAACTCGAAAGCGTTAGGGAGAATCTAATTTTATATTCTACCATGGGCGCGTGTGGCGCAGTGGTCGGAGGCGCTCTGCAACACACACATGGGTTCGGCCCCACACCCATGGCTCACCAAACCTTCCACTCCTTCGAGTTCGGCAAATTGGCACCAGACTTGTCTGGGAGGATATCAGCATTGGCTTAATACATCGTTAGGCCACCCCGAGTCATTGTAAAGGCCAGATATGCATTCAATCACCACCAAACCATCTTAATGAAGTCGAATGCATGGCGCACCCCTAAGGGATTGATCAACGCGGAGAGCTTTATCTTTTGTTTTACTCTGCCATGTTCTTAGCCCCTCAATTTTCTTATTTTTCGAAAACTTGTCCCCTATTACCGAGAAACTATTGCCTCGTTCGAAAATTAGTACCTTTGTAGTCTTTGTGGTTTTTAATTTCATTTTTCTCGTGTTTTAATGAAATTTATTTCCCGTGTTGTTTTGATGAGCAGACACGAGGTTGCTATTACAGCATT